ACTCGTGGAGGAGCATAGGCTGCCTACCAGCATTATCCATCCAACTCTGTCCTGGAAAGTCCTTTCCAGTTGCCATTCGCTCTTTCGGTGTCTGCTTCTGATTCTCGACGCAGCGTATTCTTTGGCTTTCTGTCTTTCCATTTCCCTTCAGGATTCCAAGTTAGCACTTGCTTCATGATGAAGTTTGATCATTTCCGTTACCACACGTGATCAGGTGCGGATGCCTGACCGAGCGCCTTCAGCTAGATGAGTCCACTAAAACATATGGTCAGCATCCAATGTCTAAAACGTACAGGGCTATTTATTTTGGGGATTTATTTACCGCTACAATATATATATATATATGTCTTAAAACATTTTTGACAGACTATTATATTCGGTTAAACTAAATTTATTTTGTTTCAGAAATTTTTCATTACGGATAAGTAAATATGATGGCTCATTAAACTGAAATTAATCTGTTACTCAATGAGATGTCTCAGAGGGGTTGATTTGAACCATCGTAAAGCAATGAATCGTAAAAAATTACATCACACAGCTCCTTCTACATGTATTAAGCCAGTGTGCTCTCATCAAGGAAATTAGATATATGATAATTGTAAGAGCGTTTTCGAATATTCGTGAGTGAATGTGTGGAATTCCCTCTACCTACACGTTTCATGTAAGGTTAGCACATTGTCTCACTCTTAAACTTAGAGTAGTTATTTGTGACACCTATGTATTCATCTTCGGTTTATACTTAGGATACGGACAAAACTGCCACTCATTCTACTTACAGGTTTGGTTTTTTGTGTATTGTTTCATTGATTATTCTTTAGACGCTATGTAAATTTTGTTTCAATTTCCAATGAATTGTGCTGAGGCTACATTAATTCCTTTGGCTTTTTTGTGCCGATTGAATTAAACTACCGTGTAACGGTAAGATAATCATGTTAAGTGGTTAGAGGTGCACCTTGTATTCAACTTGAAACTAATTTATATGACTTACAGGATTAGTTACTTTAGGTTCTCTAGATTTTGATTTCACTACACTTTCTTAGATAATTCTCTCCTGGGTATATCATGATGATGTCATTCTTTGATCTGTTTTGTATAGTTCATGTCCATAATCTTTATGGTTGGAACCTTACCTAATCGAGCTATCATGTTTCGGATTTATCTGTAGAAAAGAACAGATGTCCAAGATTTTACTAGAGGCCGAGAGAATTCAAACAGCATCAGTTTGAACACAATAATACTACGGATTAATATTGGTCAAATGGGGATTCACTCACTTGGCATACATATCGTCATTTTCGCAGGACCGGAATCGTGTTATTACATGAAGAATTAAAATCAAATTAACCAGTTGATTTACAATAGCTTATTACTAGCCTATCGAATATCAGATATCTTTGCAGTGGCTATACATAGCTAAACCATATGTGAGTGTTCGAAAATGCAAATCATAAGTGTCTTAGATATCAGTCGTTCGCGTATCGTTTAAAAATTTTATAATGACGATAACGATTAAAAGTCTGCTGCCCTACTCATTACCAACCACTTCTGTCGTCAAATTGTAGTGCTCAAGCTGTCAATGATTGTTCTTCCGTAAAGAGGTTCAGTTTTCTGATGCCTACTCTTCCACGCTGGTCTATTCATTTGCGCCGCATCTCACTGACTAGTGCGTACATATATAGTGGCTAAGGTGAAACACATCGGATACATACTGTCACGGAAAGAAAACGCTGAAAATCCCTCCACAGCATGATTAACGCACAGGATTGGTGGTAGTTTGTAATTATTATCAATATGACAATATCCTCTGTGGTCGACTATCTTCTGATTCAGCACTCGAAGGATAAGTTTCTGGACGCTGTTCTGGATACCGGTTCTCAGTTGCTAGCACAAAAGCCGTTAAGGTTCCTTCATCAGTGTTCGGTAGGGAATTACTGTAAGCAGTCAAGCCTCTCATTGTTCTTACGAAGAAAGGTGAGCTTTTCTCTGTATTTCGACTTTGTGAATTCGTTTTTAATACCAGTGGTTAACTTCATAATGACTGAATAATAATAATGCCAAGTAAAAGTTAATCCTGTTTACTTCATGTGAAGTCTGTAGAGAAATGACGTTTATACAACGTAGATAACAAAAGTGTGCCAAGTATTGTGTTTCGGATACGCACATTGGACGTACTAATGATGAACGTCAGGCAAGCAAATGGAAGATGCGTCAATTACATGAAGTTTTTGAGGTCAGTAGTTTACGAACTCAGATAATAATGGTATGACAGCTATTATAAGTCATGTAAAAAGTACAGGAAGAGGATAGACATTATTACTACCATACATACATATATAAGGCCCGTTTAGGTCCATTAGTACGCAACTGACAAGGCAAAATCTGTGTTTGATTTAACAAATGTAAAAATGGAAATAGTAATTCGTTAGAAAGTCAGAAAATATCATATGTGTGTAGCATTGTTGACACGTACAATGCTGCCCTGTAAAAAATTCGATATTGATTTAGAAACACCCGTTTTCGAAAATTACCTATTCGGATAAGGCACCCGAAACCTTGAGCTATCAACGTTTGGTCTCTACTTTCTGACCGCCTTGATATTATACTTGTATTGTTGCTGTTTATTAACGATTGTTCAGATAAATCAATGTAATTGGGTTTCGTGCGATTACTGAGTCGTTGGCTTAGAGTTATATAACTCTGCTTTCCCAGAACCTAACGTATCTTCAGACTGAACACTAACTTCTACGCTCAAGGGGTATTCTGAGAACGTGTGTAAATATGCAACGAAGAGAGAAATACTTTGAGTACATTTAGTGACACTTTAGGGATACCTGTGAGAATGTAAGTAAAAATGTCAGCATGTGGTTAGTAGCAACTCAATAATTGTATAAAAATATAACTTTAATTTGTGGCACGAAATTGCCTGCAAAAAAACATATTACAATGAATAACAGTGAATACTGTGAAAGCCAGGTGTAATAGATCTTTCATAGTTCATTTATCCTTTAGTATAATAGGGCACGTACGGTAGGCTGTGTTCAGTAATGATTTGTGATGTCGAAGAAACGGAAGTATAACGAATATGTATGAGCATATTTCAAAGAGTCTCAAGTTCAGTGCTTAGAAATTATTGCAGTGAAAATGTTATTAGGTTTAAATATGAGAAAATTTGAGAATCTGGTTTATGCATATGAACGTGACGAATGAACATTAGGTATATATCAAAAACGTAAGTTATTACAAAGTGAATTATCGATTAAACAAGATGGTGCAATGAGAAAGGAAATCACTTCCGTATCACTAATTCATATCTTCAGTTTGCAATCCCTCAACAATCAAAATGTCTGAAAGCAATATCTGCAACACGTACTGCAATCAACACATATTCAGTGGAAATCATCATCGAATTCCGATGCCACATCTCATCGGAAATTTATAACACGTGAAACGTACACTAAAAAATAGTAGTCGAACCACGACTCATTCCCTAAACTACCATATGCATGGGGACGATCTCATGTTCACACGCAATCGTGTTCATCGATTTCACTCTCCATTCATTCACGAGGATAACAATTCACTTCAACACGTCTCATTCGATCGACATCACTGAGAGAAAGGTGGTTGGTGAGGCTCTCAAATCGTATCACGATCCATGCATCGAACTAGACGAGTCAGTCAGCAGTCATCAACGCAAACTACACATGTTATCACCTGATATCGACTACAAACGACAGAACACGTCACTCCACACAAATGCTCGTCTCACACACTATGCAGCCTTAATTACAATATAACAAAATCTGATTACAATTTCGTGGAATTATCAGACATTGTTGTATTTTTCCAGAGGCATGAGTCACTCGTGAATCTTAATCCCACAAACCGATAGTCATTTCCACTCACAGTGTAAAAACGCTGTGAGTAAACTTCAATCACAATTTTTTCAATACCACCGTCTTGTGTAGACAACGCCCTTTAGCCTTACTCATACATAACTGATTACACAACTGATTATTATTCTGCACAAATATAATCCTACATTCATAAGACAAATTGACATTTATGAGTGGTTGGTTTAATCACCATGACTTATGTTGATTAACCTGATCCCATGGTGTGTATATATATGTGAAAGCCAACAAGTGATTGTTCGTAAGTCAGACAGACAGTGAAATTCTGGTCTCATCGAAATGTCTTCTAATTCCGAGTTTTCATCAGTCGTGTTGTTGCTGTGTTCACTTGTCTGTTGCTGTGTTCATGCGCAGTTGGATGATGCGATGAGGAATGAGTTGTTAGCTCTTCACAATAAGGCAAGACAATCTGTTCAATATGGTCAGCTTGTTGGGCAACCGATAGCAGTCTCCATAAAACCACTGGTAAGAAGAATGATTGTTTAACTTGAGTGTTCAGCGCAATTATGTTTTGATTGAGACAAATTGATTTCAGTGTACGTTTCAGCTGGTCTCACTGTGAACATGGTGTGATGATGCGAGAGAGAGAGAGAGAGAGAGAAGGAGGGAGGGAGAAGTTGTTCGGTTGATTGGTAGGTTGGTTGATTGTGGCTGACTGCAGGTAGCAGTTTCTTGGCCACTCAAATGAGGTTATTAGTGTAATGTGTTGTAGAGTAGATAGCTCACTGGTTGAAATCATTGTGTGATTGTAGACAGTGTTCTTAACTGTGCATTTGTTTGTTTTGAGTGAGTGTGGTTAGTGATGTGTAGTTTGATGAGAATAGTGCGTATAGGCGAACGAACTTCGTTCACATGGTTCGCGTGAATTCATCAGAGATGAAGAATTTTTCGCAGGTTCTGACTAACTAGTGAAAAAATAGAAATCTCCTAATTATATCACGCCGACGTGACGGCACTGATGACAACGAGTGACATTCGATACCACTTTATTCGCCTAATCGATTTTAAGTAAATAAGGCAATAATTACATTATTAATTGATCAATTAACCGTTTGATTTGCTCATTGATTAACCACATGTTTACAGAAATGGAATGTGGAATTGGAAGCGAAAGCACAAATTCTGTCTGATCAATGTCGTGTTGGACATGATACAAATGCTGACCGTAAAATACCGGCATTCCAATATGTTGGACAGAATTGGGCCGGTGCGAAAGACATAAACACGTAAGTGTCATGTGCATTGTGTTAAATATATGAATTTGTTCAACTCGTAGACTTGCAAGCATGTGGTCTGCATTCGCAGAAGTGTTATATCGATCTAATCGACATACACCGTCATCAGACGCACACCTACTTCTTTTCAGACTGTTGCTTTCTAACCAATCTGTGAACGCATACTCGATGCAAACCAACTACGAAACGTCACTCCAAATACCACAAAATTTTAGGAACACACATTTGTGAACCATGCCACCTGTCACTCCACACTCGACGATGTGGTTCGGAAGGTCTGTTTGTCAATGATAGATGAGTGAGGAAATATTGAGGACGATTGTGAGATGAACAGAAGTGATTAGTGTGAAACTCAACAAGTGGTTGCATCGGAATCTTGAACTGATTGTAACGAGTGTAACCACAGACCGATGTCACTCAGTTCAACTCATCGAAAATTCACTTCAACTAAACACTGTAATGATGTGGTTAGTGTGTTGAGATAGGCTGGATCTCACATCCACATGTTCACATGCTTGTCTAAGATGCACCCACATCTGTGTGCAATCGAGAAACTGTTAATAGTCAAATATCTCATTTACCATATATTACTTAATCAGATATTCACAGTGGATGGGCATCACCACAGTCAATCAGTGTGTGGTTTCTTCGTGATATTCATCGACGTTCACACCTACACTTGTGCAGTGATATCTTTCTTCTCCCCTCAATTATACATGTGATAATACTCTTGTGATTGACTGTTCATTTTTCCAAATGTTCGGATTCATGTTTCGATTGATTGCTATTGTTTGTTCATTTCTATCAAGCGGATTCCAATTATGGTTGGATGAATACAAGAATTACGACTTCTACACAAGAACATGTCGTATGGGTCAGTGTGGTCATTATACTCAGGTAAGCATTAGAACGATTACAAAGCATTCTTGTTAAAATAACTACTTCAGACAAAGTTGTATAGACACTGACTAGTGATATTGTGGTCGATTCATGAAACCGTCTAACATGGCTACGTGTAGTATCCAACTATCCGTTGTCACATACACAAAAATTGGAAATGTTCCAGTCCTCGTTAGCACGCTTCTTGTCTGTGTTAGAATGGTCTACACTCTGCCCAACGAATCACGACTTCCACATCGTTGTGATCTTAGACTGTTGTTGATTTAAGTGAACGATTTATATGAATGTGTCCTCTTCCAATACACTATTCAATAGCTCACTGTCACTTGGTTCATTTCAGCTTGTCTGGGAAGACACTACGGATGTTGGATGTGGTGTCACGAACTGTCCGAATTTCCCATACGGACTCAGCATCGTGTGTAACTATGGTCCTGGGTAAGTCATTAATAAGATCATTCTCATTTACTTAAATGATTTGTGACATGCTCTTCCATTATGACTCCGTTCTGCATTCTTTCTTCATGATCGGATGATGTTTGTAGTGGAGTTCAATTCGGCTGTTGTTTACCAATATTACTGATACGCTCTATTTTCTATTAATCAGCTCAAACTCTCGTTGCTATTTAAATAAACACTTGCTATCCTGAAAATTATTGCCTGGCATTTTTAACTCCGTGACAACAAATGCCTACTTTCGTGACGATCAATATAGATCACTGTTGAATGTTTAAACCAACGTAAATCACATTTCATCTGTTGTAGTTACGTTTACTATGTAACCGAATATTAACGGTATGGACGATGAATCAGTGATCATCAACAATGTAGTCATTGTGATCTAAACCAACTCCTTTGAACATGAATCTCTCTATATTTTATAAACACTTGAATTCGCATGAATATCAGAATGGATTTTTCATTACTAGTATTACACAGACTTTGACATGATCAATATCTCCTTTCAAATTTCTACGTGTAATCTGACTACTGATATCCACAAGTAGTTTCATGAATATCATCAACAATGGTTGATTTCCATTGTAAGGAATGTGAATACGTGTCGATGTTCTAACTTCAATGATAATAATAAATGAACATGCGAAAATCACTGATGAACTTTGTCTCATCGTCTTAATGAACTTATTAACGTTTTATATTCTTACCCGATTTCAGCGGCAATTACGTTGGACGCTCACCGTACAGAACAGCATGAGGAATAGTTGGCTTCCGAAATCAATCATTTTTGCAACTGTCTTTTTTAACATTTCACATATCACATATCACTACTGTACACCGGTGGAAATCGCCTAATTTGTATATTTGTATTGAAGTGAAATTATCTTTTCCAAATAATAATCCATCAAATGTCAGGCTAAGTCTTGATGTCTTTTGATTTCCGCGTTTGATTCCTGTGTGACTGGAGTGTCCGTTGAGGAATGGGATATTGCAATAATTAATTCGTTGCCAGTCGTGTGTCAGTTTACTACCGAAATCCGTTTCTGTCTACACACTAGTCAGTAGCATGACATGCTTTCACACACAGAAGCTTTACTCCTGCATACTGCAATTCTAGAGTATGATAAATTCTCTATCACTACAAAATTTAGTTTGCTTCCAAATGTCATGTGTGTCAGGTCCCACCCACTGATCAATCAATTGTAAATACATCCCAGTGCCACAGGACGTCAGTCGTAGTCCGGATAACTCAGTGTTAAAGTCTCCGATTGTGATACTGGGTGGCTATACATAGCTACACCATATGTGAGTATTCGAAAATGCAAATCATATGTGTCTTAGATATCAGTCGTTCGCGTATCGTTTAAAAATTTTATAATGACGATAACGATTAAAAGTCTGCTGCCCTACTCATTACCAACCACTTCTGTCGTCAAATTGTAGTGCTCAAGCTGTCAATGATTGTTCTTCCGTAAAGAGGTTCAGTTTTCTGATGCCTACTCTTCCACGCTGGTCTATTCATTTGCGCCGCATCTCACTGACTAGTGCGTACATATATAGTGGCTAAGGTGAAACACATCGGATACATACTGTCACGGAAAGAAAACGCTGAAAATCCCTCCACAGCATGATTAACGCACAGGATTGGTGGTAGTTTGTAATTATTATCAATATGACAATATCCTCTGTGGTCGACTATCTTCTGATTCAGCACTCGAAGGATAAGTTTCCGGACGCTGTTCTGGATACCGGTTCTCAGTTGCTAGCACAAAAGCCGTTAAGGTTCCTTCATCAGTGTTCGGTAGGGAATTACTGTAAGCAGTCAAGCCTCTCATTGTTCTTACGAAGAAAGGTGAGCTTTTCTCTGTATTTCGACTTTGTGAATTCGTTTTTAATACCAGTGGTTAACTTCATAATAACTGAATAATAATAATGCCAAGTAAAAGTTAATCCTGTTTACTTCATGTGAAGTCTGTAGAGAAATGACGTTTATACAACGTAGATAACAAAAGTGTGCCAAGTATTGTGTTTCGGATACGCACATTGGACGTACTAATGATGAACGTCAGGCAAGCAAATGGAAGATGCGTCAATTACATGAAGTTTTTGAGGTCAGTAGTTTACGAACTCAGATAATAATGGTATGACAGCTATTATAAGTCATGTAAAAAGTACAGGAAGAGGATAGACATTATTACTACCATACATACATATATAAGGCCCGTTTAGGTCCATTAGTACGCAACTGACAAGGCAAAATCTGTGTTTGATTTAACAAATGTAAAAATGGAAATAGTAATTCGTTAGAAAGTCAGAAAATATCATATGTGTGTAGCATTGTTGACACGTACAATGCTGCCCTGTAAAAAATTCGATATTGATTTAGAAACACCCGTTTTCGAAAATTACCTATTCGGATAAGGCACCCGGAACCTTGAGCTATCAACGTTTGGTCTCTACTTTCTGACCGCCTTGATATTATACTTGTATTGTTGCTGTTTATTATCGATTGTTCAGATAAATCAATGTAATTGGGTTTCGTGCGATTACTGAGTCGTCGGCTTAGAGTTATATAACTCTGCTTTCCCAGAACCTAACGTATCTTCAGACTGAACACTAACTTCTACGCTCAAGGGGTATTCTGAGAACGTGTGTAAATATGCAACGAAGAGAGAAATACTTTGAGTACATTTAGTGACACTTTAGGGATACCTGTGAGAATGTAAGTAAAAATGTCAGCATGTGGTTAGTAGCAACTCAATAATTGTATAAAAATATAACTTTAATTTGTGGCACGAAATTGCCTGCAAAAAAACATATTACAATGAATAACAGTGAATACTGTGAAAGCCAGGTGTAATAGATCTTTCATAGTTCATTTATCCTTTAGTATAATAGGGCACGTACGGTAGGCTGTGTTCAGTAATGATTTGTGATGTCGAAGAAACGGAAGTATAACGAATATGTATGAGCATATTTCAAAGAGTCTCAAGTTCAGTGCTTAGAAATTATTGCAGTGAAAATGTTATTAGGTTTAAATATGAGAAAATTTGAGAATCTGGTTTATGCATATGAACGTGACTAATGAACATTAGGTATATATCAAAAACGTAAGTTGTTACTTCCGTGAGCGTATCTTCAAAGTTAACTATATGAGATTGTTGCTAAACATTGTCAGCGTCGTGTTTGTTTCCTCTCTGCACATTTAATGGCGCGTGAAATCGTCCTTCCCTTTTTTCAGTCTGCTTTTCTTGGTAAACTGGTATTTGGGTTGTATCCACTGCGGTCAACGCTGTTTGTGTGATAATGATAGAACTTCGAAAGAATTGATGATTTAAATTACATTTTTCGATTATTCTATATACGTTGCTTGATTAAAATTTTTAACCTTATAGGGTTTGTCCAGAAGTGTACATACTTCCAACTTATTTAATGTCACAATAAAGCTACATTTCTCAATAAATTGCCAGCCCTACCTTCCTGACCTAGTGCTTAGAAGACTGAAAAAAAGAATAACCGGAACTTGTACTATATGGAAGCGAAAATGGTTAGATAATAGAAAACAGTGAGCGATTAGACTGCTACAGTCATTCGTTAGGTATCTTTGGCCTATACGGAATATGATAAGTAATTCAAGGACTTTTGAGGTTGTACCAGGCTTAGAATGGTAAATAGATTTTATTAAGATTTATTTCACGTCACTGATCTTATAGAACTGTCTTAGAAATTCACCACTTTATCTGGTGAGCCTTCATTTTAGCAAAACGGTTTGATAACATGGCGTGTTGAGTTGAGTTTTTTCTACCTAGTTACCAAACAAATGATCGGAATTTTAACCCTGTCTTAGATATATTGGCTTAATCTGTAAGATAAGCAAATAAGGAGCGTTTGTTGTGGTTACGCAATTATTTACCAGGGGTATGATTAGTCGTCGTCATATCAGATGTTGATTTTATTTCATACAAGGACTTACCCAGCATTTTAGAAAGCACCCGAAGTCATCGTAACTTTATGAAGCTGAATTATAATGACACTGTTCATATTATTGGTTAAAAATCAGTGTGAATGTTACAAAGTTACAAAACACATCACATACGAATGATTTGAGCAATGTCACACTCATTCTATTGGGATTAAAAATATACAACGTCGACACGTTTCGAATCAGAGCTAACAAAAAAGTATTAAAGAGGTACTGGGACGTTTGAAGTAATGAATAATAGTCTATTTTTATTGAAACTCGTACGTTATACTTACTGAAGGTCATATGTACTCGTTGCTACAGCGGTAAAACCAGACTGGATATTTAGTCTCATTTTCAAAAGTTGCCTGTAGGTTTAATTATGCGATGTTGTTCATTTGAAGCCTAGTATTTTATTCACTGATATTCCATTAAGCGCCTAGTTTTTAGTGCTTTAAATAGCATTAAACTCCCAAAGATTAGCTGGTCAAGATAATTTAGACTAGTCTGATATTAATTGCGAGCTCCCAATTAATAATAGGCATTAAAAATAAATTGGCTATCAAAGTTGCACGATTACTTATCTGATATCGAAAGAAGCTTTTATACCCGTCGTTTAGCATGAAGAAATAGATATATGTATATATGACCACTCAAATGCATATATGCAATGTTGTTTGAAGACTATGTTTACAGGTGGCTATCGAATATTAGTCCAGCAATTTACCAATACACTGTCCTGGAACTGACATTAAAAAGAATGAGGTTGAAATGCCGGGTTTCGAAATATCTAATCCCCACCCTAAGGTGTGCACATTTAGATATCTAGTCATTTTGATTAGATTCCGTTTAACTGACTCTTGGTTGAATACATGTAGCTACTGAAGCTTATTTATAATCGAATTATATTTTTGTTAAGTAGAAATGAGAAGGGTTAGGGTTAAAAGTGTTTAAGGTGGCCACTGCATGAAGTGATTTGTATTCTGAACTTTGTGTCAGCTTTTAGGTGTCATGAGTTTGATCTGGGAAGCTATCTTAACCTTTTGTTTTCGAGTTGTTTCTGTTACATAACAAATGAAAACAACTGACGTTATCATGGAAATCGTCTTTATTTTCGTCACAAACTTTTATAGTATGTTTCACTGAATTTGATAATGGAATAAATAGGTTATCTTAAATGTACGTTCTACTCGCCTTTAACTTTCTTAACATAAAAAGAAAAAGAACAGTAGTATTCATTTGTTTCACTCTAAGTTGTGAATTTAATTATTGTTGTCGTGCAGTCTTGTTGACATTGATGTCGGAGCTAAAATTTCGTGTTCCTATGCTATTGATTAGAAGTTCTTAGTTAACAACAAATAATCATGTTCCTTATCCTACTAGCAAATAATTTGCAAATGGAGTTAATGACAGAACGTTATTTTCAAAGACCACTACGACTGAGTCACAGTGCATCAAATTTACCAGATATTTTGCAATATACAAGATCAGGATCTTCAGGAAGATTTGATGATATAACAGAAGGCAGTTATCCAGCTATTTATACGCACAGGAATATCAGATCATTTGCACCCTGGCGCCCCAAGTCTCATTTTTCCCCGGACCGATTATCTTATTTTAATGATGACAAGTCAGCAAAATCACTGGGTCCCATTGTCAATGTTACTGGAGATTCGCTAGGTTTACATGAACTGGAGGGTTTAAGAATTCCTTCTATATACTCAGCTGCACGCAACGCTTTATACACAAGATATACGCCTGCCGACTGGACTAAGGGTAACTTTACTCGGCTGTCAAACTCAGAGCAGGCAATGAAGAGAGCTGAACATATAAGAGGAAATGGAGAACGTTTGGGAGTTGAAGCAGATGACAGAATTAAACGAGCACAACAGGAAGTTGGCAGACTACTTGGTTAGTTTCAGTATGGTTATATGCGATTTTTTTCGTTTATCATTGATGAACATACACTCTTTCATAGTATTTCTCGTTTGTCGGGAATTTCATGGAGGTATAAAGTACACAGTCGACTCAGAAATATGGATTTGTTTTTGAATATTGACTTTGATTCATAAAGCGTCTATCAGGCTACCGTTCCGTTAAGTTCCGTTAAGTTTTCCTACCATAAAAAAGTCCACATTGGTTAGTGTTGCTTCTTTTTTTAGACTACAAAGAAGTGCCTTGAAAAATGAATTTCAAACAAAACCCCATATAATATTGCTTTAATTTGGTCAGATTCTTAGTTTAAATATTTGTATGACATATAAAGTTTCAATGCCTTAAGGACGTTGTGATTTACTGTTGGCATACATAAATTAATACGATTTGTTTGTGTGTTTAACTTTGTTGGAGTTTTAGTCTCGTCCTAAATATTATCTCTCGTTTCGCTGTATTTATTTATCACATAAATATAGTGGTACGGTGGGAAACAAAAGAGTGCATAATCTAATCAGCGTTTTTTCAGCGAGATTGTTTTCTACAGGACGGGGTTACCGACCCTCATTCTTTAACCGGGATTGGGACCGGCAGTAACTCTAGGAGAGTTACAGGTGGAGTTACAAAAGAGCGCAGTATACGAAATAAAGTGGTAAAATTATCGCTTTATTAAACTGAGCACCTCTTTGCCTTTGGCTACAAAACGTCGTAGATTCTGCAGATTGTTCAGTATGTCAACTTCTGGATCCCTATGTGAAAACCATGTCCAAACCAATTAAGCTATTATTTTAAGATCTTGACATTGAATAAATTATTATTACTGGATCCAAACCAATATTCACGTAAATATGAATGACTGCTGTGGTGTTGCCAACGGACAAGTTGAACTTTTTGGGGAATACTAAGGCAGAGGATATAGAGTCACTGGACATTTTTAACTGGAAGAGGTGATGTTTTACGAGGAACGATCAGAATTTATTTTACTGATTGCTTCTCTTGACGTCTTTTAATGTGACTAGCGTTTTGATAGCACTAAGTATGGATGATATCGCCAACATCATTCCGGTTATTTTGAGCTTGGTAATCATCATTTTGCGATGTGATTCGGTTTTAATAAATCAACTTGAGTTGAGCACATCTTGTACTAAACGTACGTGTCTTAATTGATTCAACTGTAGTTCACAAGCGAAAGGTTTCACAAAATTTGTTCTCATGAACATTCATTAATAACGAGTAATGGGCGTCTTTGTCTTAGTCACCATTTTCTAGTTTAACCATTTGCAAGAGTGACGTTTTACTTATTTGATCAATAAGACGTAATTATCTAGCTGCATAAATGCCGGTATAATTATTCTTTACTAAAACCAGGTGTCTAAAATATAATTTATATCAATTTTTGTTGTCACGTAACAAGTACCAGGGAGTAATTGATGTTCCCACAGAAATTTTAATTGGCTGACTGTCTCTTTCAAAAGTTCATTGTCATTTACTTATCCACTTATTTTTCATAACTATTTTTTGACAACAGTGACCAGTTGTTGATGGTAATCACGGCTTTTTATTGTTGACCAAATGCTTTAAAATCAATCGGCTTGTATACTTTCATTACAATGTCACATATTATCTACATTAGTTATGTTAAGATAATATGTTTTTTATAGCCGGTCATATAATTTTCATTCTGGTTGTAAGGTGTTAGTCTATGAAAAAGCAAATTAAATGAAACGGAATAATGGTTAGATTAAGACACTGTAACTTTCATTAGCGATGACACGAACTGGTCAAACTGACATTCAGAAGAATGTGTTTCCTTGCTAGAGACTAGGAAATGAAAACAAACTTGTGAAGGTATGTGTGGTATAAATTGAAACTTGTTGGAATATCTCAGACCCACTACAAATCAACTTGCATCTGTTTCTACACCATAATAAAAGAGCACAAATCAGAAGCATATTTCTCTTACATCTGTTTCTGTCTAAAAAGTCAGAAATTTCCCTCAAGTTTATTTCATTGTTGCATTGTGATTAGTTTCCTTTGTTTCTATAATTATGAAAAATAAAGCAATTTTTCGGATACGTTCATAACATTATTTTACTTGTCAAACTTGCTCTATCTGAAACTTATTCATTGAATGCCAACGCATCTTAGTGAGCCTAACCTTTCAATTTAACACCATTGTTATGAAGGGATTTAAGGTGATGGTAGCATTCCAGCTATTAAGGGGGTTGTTCAAACTCGATCGGACAAAACCTGAGTGGTTTTCTTGTTTCAAGGCTCACAAGCCTACTGCGTGGATTTTATTTCTTGGGGAAATCGGTATTCTTGGGTTTTGGCGCATGGACGTCTTACCAAGAGCAAGTATACATTACATGCCTACCGGTAATACATTAGTTTTTACCCATTCATCCCATGGCATAGATATAGGCATATTTTTTCACTTGAGAGGGCAGATGGTCACCAATCCCTTCAAATGTGTTTGCTGCAACTGACCACCTCTTACAAATTAGATGCATACCACTAGTACATGGAGCTTTGGTCATCCATTTCATGGCATACACATAATCTTGAGCGGTCTTAGAAAGGACTGATGGTCATCTTTTCTCAGTATTTGCTAATATTTCTTTTTTTGTCTTCGACCTGTTGGTTTAGGCCTCTGATCCCACTAGATATACAGCTAACATTCCAGTCTGGCACATAACTTCTGTGTATACCTATATACACAATTAAACATGCTGAGACTCATGAAATTCATATGTACAAGCATACACATCAGGCGGCCAGTAAGATTTTAGAGCATCGGGGTTGGTGAATTAGGCTGACCGTCCAGTTTTGTCGGTAAATTTGCCTCTATCACCCCAACAGCGCCAGGAGGAGGCCTTGTGTCCGAGTTTGCTGTCAAGGTTTTAATACAATAATATTGTCAAATATGTTTATTTTCTTTTTCTAACATTAGGTCAAAGAATTAATGATATCAATTATATGAAACATGAATTAAATAACGAAATTGATGCACTTATTAATGAAATGAATAAATTAAATGAATCTAAACGAATTGCTGAAAAAGCATTCGCTGAAATTGAAAATCCATTACATATTACACAAGAATGTTTATATCATCGGGAAAAACGTCAATCTACTGACCTTGTACATGATCAACCAGAAAAAGCACTTTTAAAAGTAAATAATTTATTTGTTATTAGTGTATTATGTTAGTTTTAAATGTAATTTTATTATGAATTATCTATAAATTTCTGGCTTAGTTACCGAAAGTTTAGAATGTAGCTGTAATGAATCATAACCTTACACGTGTTTAATTTGTACTCAAAGTAATTGAACCGTACTTTTACCTATTACTAAGGATAGTTTTAACATTTATGGTTTGTATAATGTTATAATAGCATGACTACTGAGATTAAAATCTATTCCTGATGATATGGTTTCGCAATTTGAGTTAAACGTCACCTCAGTAGTATGAAGGTAGAGTTCTTGCTAAATGGTCTGAAGGTCCTGAGTATCATATCTGTAAAAGTCTTAGTTGAACACTACTTAGTCATTCTTAGCTAGGATGAAAAAGCAGTTGATTATTCTATGACATCCAATGGAAGTCTGATCAAAATCAGCGGTGATGTATATATACTTAGTGTAATATGAAATTTTATAACCTAATCGACACTGATATACAAATTTTGTGCTATTATTAAAATGTTTAAAGTCTAAAAACCATTGGGATTGGAAAGTGGCTGGGTATGTACTTTAGAACTCATATTTCGTCCTCTTTGGGACTAGTCATCTGGATGTCCCTACATATGAGTGTTCATATTCGCACAGAGACTGTCCCCTAGTAACTTTTGCATCAAACGGTAATGCATTATCCACTTGTCTAACTGTACCTGTACAACGTGTATGAATTTTACTTTCAATAGTTTGTACTTACTCGTCGATATTGTTGAAGACTGAAACTGATCAATCTTTATTTTCATATATATGTATCCCGTCGGAATTCCTTCGGTGTTATCATTTAGTAAAAATCTAATTAAAGTTCAACATCATGGGAATTCACAGAGATTACATATATGAAAATAAAAACAAATCAATTACAGTCCATAACATTAATAACAAGAACATACAAACCGTCATATATAAAACTATTAATTGTAACTTTTTGTACTAAAGGAACGAGAACATTATAGTAGTGTATATATGATCAGTTCTATTCAATATTAATAATAAGATTTTCTTATTTATAATAGTAGACAATTATGCTTACATTGTCAATAATTTACCTTATGAGGCTATATAAGTTTATCGTTTCTGTTTTTTCCATCAAATTCAAAATCAGTTAACAAAGAAGTTGTTTACTATTCGTTATGTAACTTTTTTTTTAGAACATAAATTAGTGCAATTTTCATTCTATTATTATTGTATTGTGAATTATGATTTACGGTTTAATATAAATATATAAATCTACTTATTGGTGAATTTCTCTTCAATTTTCTTCAATCACTTCTGATTAATTAAAACTATTATTGTTAGTGTTACTTTAGTTATGTGTTGGTTTACCAGGGTAGTAATAGGTTTATTTCTCTTTTTGAATTGTTTGCATCATTTTTTTTCGTCATTAGTTTTCTTTAGTTAATGTTTACTCTATCATGTAGGCTTGCCTTACTAAATTCTCATTTTATGTACATTATAACCAAACTTTCACTGATACATAAACTGTCCAAATCCTGTCCAATTATTATGTAATCCATCTTGTCAGTCTATTAATTCCAGGAATCTTGTATTAATCTTTCATTATCTCTAAGATGATCACACAATCTATCATACCTGTCTCTGAAACTCACTTGATTATTGCATCACCCAAGACTCATGTTTTTTTTCTAGCACCAAATGACCTTCGACCTGTTTTTGCATATATATATAATCTATGTCATTCCAATTACTTTCATTGACCTGTGTCAATATCTTAGCTCCAAGTTGCTACACCTCATTAGCACAACAAGATGAATACCAAATTCATAGAAGTAGTTACTTCAAAGGTAGTAATATATAAACGAAAAATTGTGTATAAGAATATAATACAGGAAGAAAGAATTAGTTCGTAGAAAGAAAGGCATTAAGCAACTTTAATCTCACAGTTTAAGGAAAGATAGAGAATGTATACACCTACGCCATTGGCATCGATTCTCAGCCATGTTACATGGAGTAGTTTAGTTTAGACAGAAATACTTACATTTATCTTACTTGTAAATGATAGAATCATTCACATAACGTTAGACAATAGCTTTTCTAAAATTATTGTCAAAATTATCATTCCAGTTTAAAATCTTAACATTAAGTTGTAATGATAATAACAATGACAACAATAAGAATGATAATAATAATAATAAACACACATTTTTCATGACTAAAAATCCGGCAAACTAGAAAACAACTGAGACTAAAATCTATCAGTTTATGGGTTAGTGAAGATTGCTGAATTTCATGGTGGACATTAAGAATTTACCACAGTTCAACATATATTGAAAATCAAGAGATAATAGACAATTACCTCGTCGTACTTTGGAACTCTTAACCAATGTTCACTCATAACTCTGCGGATAGTCAAACATAGAGTTACCATGAGAGAGGGGTTTTGTTGATATGATAGTGATTTTAATAGTTAGATTCATGAGTCAATTGAAGTTGGCCGACCATGGGATATTTGGAAGCACTGGACAACCGTCTCGTCCTAGTATGAGACTCCTCAACAGTGTGTGTCCACGATCCCGCCTCGTGAGATTTGAATTCAGGATGTATCGGTATCACGTGCAAACGCTTAACTTTTAGACTACTGGGTCAGCTGGCATCGGACGGTGTTACTGTTTAACTTCAACCAGTTCACAAAATCGCATCACCACTGTCATCAGTGATTTACTATCTCACAACAGTCTCGGTTGAACTACACTGATCACGGCTTTTCATTAGAACTTTAGGAAATCCCTCTTGAAGTTAGTCACTATTGAGCACATGATGATTAAAATCAATAAGGGGTTTTGTGGATATTATAATAATTTCATCAATTTAATTCATGTGTCATTAGATGAAAAAGTTGTTCATTGCTTTCAACCATTTATTACTGTATAATTAAAGCCGATCCAAGATTTAATTGAGAATAATATTGTTCACCCAATAAACACTATACTTAACTCTGTTAATGTTCACTTTATTTGTTATTTACCAAGAAAACAAAAGTGCAATTATTAACACATACATTATGGAAGTTCATTAATTCATTCATTATATTATTATTATCGTTAGTAATACATTTTCAAATAATTTTATCAACCACCCCCCCCTAGTAACATTGAATGGAATAACAACCATATCTTTTAATAAATTCAATTGTTTGTTTATTTGTTTGTTTTATTTTCACCTCAGCATTCTTTTAGAATCGTACATTTATGCAATAGAATATCAATAAGGATAAGTATTTCTAATCATACTATTAGTATATAATAATAATAATGATTAATTAATAAACAATATTATTGTACATTTATTTGAGGTATATTCAATGTATAGTTATAGGGTTTCACCTTAATTATTTAATTAAGTTATTAATTAATATTGTCATTGAAATTATCCTTGACCTTATTCTATGTTAGGATAATGTTCATTCATCAAAGAAAATGAATTGTTTCCTTTCTTCTACGGAAATTTATTATGCAAAATAGTGATAAAAATAGTAATAATAATAATAGTAATAAAAGATTAAATAAATATAAATATTTTAATAGTTGAATCAATTGAAGTTAGACCACCATGGAAAACCTAGATGCATTGGACGACTGTTTCATCCTAGTATGGGACGCTTCAGCAGTGCGCATCCACGACCCCACCTCGCAAGATTCGAATCCAGAACCTATCAGTCTCTTGGGTGAACGTTTAACCTCTAGACCACTGAGCCGGCATCCATGAATTCAACTATTAAATTACTATGATATCCAACAAAACCCCTCTGAAAATATGAATATAATCCATATGGTTACAAATTTGTGAAGATTGTTGAACTGGAGACTGACTGTCACTTGATAATGACAGAAAACAAGAGAAGAATAGACAGGTGTTTTATACTGTCATTGATCTATTTAGTTGTAACAATTTCTAAACTTGGCAGAGATTAATTCCATGACCTTTAAATTGGGTGATGAAAATCTAATATCCAGGCCATTGAGTTGACATCCAGTAGTTTACATTTAGAAATTCAGTCACTCCTCAACATTGCAAAAGTACCTCATCTGCTTATACTGATGGTAATCATGTTTTCACTTGTTACCGATTCGGAAAGGCAGTGACCAGGGTTACAGTGATATGCTGTCGCCAGTTTAAATGAGTCTGCCAGTTACCTACCAGTCACGTTAGATGATGGTCACGAAATATAGCGAAATGACTGAAGTTAGAGGTAGACGCCACCTGATACCAGCTCAGTGATTAGAGGGGTGAATCCCCACTCCTAGATGTGAAGGTCTTCTGTGTAATCCTGGGTGTGGTCGTGGATACACACAGCTGAGAGGCTCTATACTGGAATCAAATAACTGTCCAGTAAATACTGGTTTTCAGTGGTTGTTTAGATGCAGTCAGTTCATGATTGACACTGCAAAATGTATTTCATTTAGGTTTTGGCTTAGTGGTTAAAATACTTGATTTCTTAGCTGATGAGTTTCAAGGTAAAACCCTGGTCTTCTTACTTCCGTTTGGGTAACCATGTAATTTCACTAGTTTTTATGTAAATAATGTGCTACAAGACGGAATAATTTAACTCATACGTGAAAATATTGACTTTCGAAGTTTAACTACCAGAAAATTTACCATCGTAAAATCTTTTTCTTTGGATTCCAGCCAAAGTCTGAGTTTTTCTTGAGCTTGTCACTCCTACAATCAGCGAACGGTGTCTTTTCTAACAGAAACTACAGACCACTTCATATTGAGTCTATTTTATGGTATTAAATGCTTTTCAATTGTGAATTTGTATTTTGCTTTAAGTAGTCGAGTCCTTTTATAGTCTAACACCTGGAACCTTATTCTATAAACTTTTATAAGGGTAAATTCTGTGACTTCTTGAGAAATTAGTTCGTTAATTAGGCCTTATATTAAGCCTGCCTCATTCTGAAAAAGATTTCTCGGTTTGAACGGCC